GTCAGGTTATTTTCTACGGCCACACCAAGTAATTGCTATGGATGACGTCCACTGGAGACCTTAAATCTAATTACCTTAAATTTAAGGCAATCGCGCAATAAAAACACGAATGGCCGAAAAACGAGATGCCTAGATTTGGAATATACTAACTGTAGAAGTACAAATGTTAGGACACAAAGAACACAAGAAACAAGTCTTCTATTTGTCATAAAGACAAATTAACAAAACAGCAGTAGTCACCCTGTTCTGATTCTTTCCTTTATAACATCTTCTCTTATTATATTTTGCGGCGCTGTCGTGACACTTTCAACACAGTAAGAATTTCTTGAACGTTTTTTTCCAGTAACAGTCCAAACTCAAATAACGTAGGGGGGGGGAGGCTAACTGTATAATCTGCGGCAAACCGTTTCAGGGTGTTCTGTACCATAAAAATAGTACAGAGATTCTTTTGTTCTTTAGACCAAATTGATTATTAAAAAGAGTGAAGAATACGCATGTTAATTTCTCTAGAACGATGTACCTCTGACGAAGACATGAGATCTCCGACCTCTAGTTTAATATGTTCAAATTTTTGGCAAAAATTGCCTGTTTACAATATTCATGCTAGGCTAGCAAACTGTTGGAAATATTGCAGACTCTGGGCCTGACACAGTGTTGTAGAACAACTTGTCTACTTTCTATACATGTGTTCGGTAACTAAAATAAATATTGTGTGTGGATGCGCTTTTTAGGCAAAAATAAGATTACAAAAATTGAACTTCTGGCTGTTTATGAACTGAAATCTGATCACTTTGTTGGGATAAGTGGACAATACGGCCAATTAACTTGTTGACATAGCACTTCCTGGTAGGAGACCAGACTACCTGAGGAGAGCAATAGGCAGTTCACGGCTTGTTCACACGTTGCCAGACAGTCAGCTTGGCTTGATTTGTGTTTGTCAGGTTGTCTTGGTTTAGCAACAATTAACAAACATGGTTTCAAGGTTCCTAGTACACTGTAACTAGAAAAAAACATGTAAAAAAACATGGTATCAAAAATCCATTTCTCCATCATACTCACAACATACTCTCACAAAAGATCAAGTTCCTCACAAAGTAATAGGTATGTGATGCCTGTATTCATTCAACTTTGAAAACTTTGTACATGTATATCAAAATACACAATCGATGTGTATCTACGATTTAATTGAAACTCAGCAGACAGGACCAGACAAGCACATTCATCAAAAATGTTCCAGACCTCTTAGAAGTCAATCTATTTAAAATATTCAAATGAGTTGAGTCAATAAGTCACAAGACAGTATCCCAGAGCCCAGAAGCCCCGTTTTTGCTTGAAGTTGAATGACGTTCCAGAACATCTGAGCTCAAGTCTTCACCCAAGCGCAGTGGCCTACTTGAAGAGTGTATACATTCAAGAATTTTGTTGAACAGAGAGAAGGTAAGTTCATTTAAGTGATATCTTGCACAGCTAAATTTATAATCCGAAGTGCATACTAGTATTAATTTACTACAGTAACAGCAATGGCACAATCAAGAAAAAATTATTACATGTAATGACTTGGCCAAGAAGAGGAATCAGATTAGATAAAACAAACATAAAGTTGGGTTGACTAACTCTGCCAGGAGACAGTCAATAGTATTGTTTTGTATTTTATGTACTATGCTCTTTGGGAGATCTTTATCAAAACATATAAAAGAGAATCATAATGTATTTAGCCCACTCAAGTCAATTTTTTGGGCATGCAAATTCTATGACAACCTATATGTTGATTGTAATTTCATTGAAAAGCTGATCACAATGCTGAATTTGAAATGCTCAAACATTTGTAAACACCCACTGGCCAGTTCATGTTTTTTATGTATTTCAGTAAATACACCCCCCCCCTGGCTGTTTAGCCCAGGTGGCTTTCTGTAGCATTTTTATTTGTAGATGTTTTCTTATTTCTCACATTGTATGATAAGTCCAAGCTTAGAATATAGGGATTATATTGCAGGCCTGGGATTTCCCCAGAAATTCTTAGGGTGAGGTTCTGGTTAATGAAAATCAGTGAATTTTCATGAGAATACTAGAGATAACCCAAAATTTAACATTTTTGGGATAAGTGCGAGGATTTTGGGGGCAGAGGGAGCATCCTTGATTTTATGCTTGGGGTCAAAATCCTGATAATCAATAAGTGACTCCCAACCTGGGGTATGGGGTCGTGTGGCGCAATCGGTAGCGTGTTCGGCTCACACCTCAGAGGTTGCGGGTTCGAACCCCACCTTGTCACCGATCTTGTGCCCTTGGGAAAGGCACTTTACAAGACTTTCCTCACTTCACTCAGGTGTAAATGAGTACCTAGCTTCAGCTAGGGACGTCCCTCGGATAGGACGTTAAATGGAGGTCCCGTGTTTGGGGAGATCCACTCCCCACGCACGTTAAAGAACCCACCACACCTTTCGAAAAAGAGTAGATGTGCCAGTGGACCAAGCGCGACATGATGTCAAGGCGGCCGCCAAACAATGGTATCAACACGGTAACAGAACATTTCAGACCGTTCATGGCACTTCTCTAGCAAGAGCATTAGTGCATGTCCCTGAAGTGTACAGAGTCTCTAATAAGGAACATTTTAGCACCCCACAGCACAGGATAGCACAGAATGTCAAGCGCAACATCGAGGAGCAATGGAAGGACCAAAACATGGACGTTATAGTCCACCAGGGCACACGTGAATCGGATTCAAAGTACGAAGAGCGCAGGTTGGCCATGGGATTCGAAACAACTGAAAGTGCCAAGAAGATAGCGAGAGAAAGAGAAGCTAAGGAGGCTTCAGGACAATTGAAGAAGAAGCGGAGAGTTGGGGGAGCAAAAGACTGGGGAACCTGGGATTGGGAATCCATAAAACAGGAAGTGACGTCGTGGCCAGATGGCAAAGAAGTGAGCTGGAGAGCCTATGCTCTGGAGAAAGGCGTCCACAGCAAAAAGGGTGAGCCAGCGAAGAATGGGGGTCAGATGGTCCAAGACTGGCTCATTCAAGAGGGGATAAACATCCACAGATTCAAGACACCTGGAACTTCGAACATGAAGACCACAAGAGCACGGAGAAGAAAGAAACGGATCCCCAACATGAAGAACGTCACAATGCCCACCCCTCGTGCAGCAAAAGAGAGGAGGAAAAGCCTGAATGTCGACGTCATGATCAAACATGGGGACATTCCAATAGGTGAAATGATTGTGCCAAAGGAGTTTCAGAAAATGGTGTTTGACCCCAAAAGTGGCACCGCCGAAGTGAGGACATTCACTGTTGAGGGCAGAAAGCACCCACTAGAAGATAACCGAAAGAGAAGTCTCCAAGATCAGAAAAAGTTCATGAGATTCAGAGAGGACCACGTGTATGAAGAAATGGATACAAATGATATTATGGAGAGATTGAAAGCACTTGGGGAATATGAAGACGAAGAGGACATCACAGAAATGAGAAGCAAACTCAAGGGACTTGAACGGACCTGTCAAACAACAGTATGGGAGGACAGTAGTCAGATAATCAATCATGGACATATGCTTTACATGACAAATACCACATACGCTGTTCACTTGACGGATGAAGAGTACCTCGCAGTGTATGGAGAAAACATCAGTGTACAATCTCATGTAGAGAAACCTGCCATCTACATGATAGCACGGTGTAGCTCTAGTGATGCTGATCAGCTGTGCTACAGCCAAGAACGACGAAACTGCCTCTACAAGATGGACAAGCCCCTCACTGTAGAAGTTGATGGATCGACGTATGAAGTGAATGATAAACCTCGCTTCTTTAAGGGTGACACACTAGCAAGAGAGTTTGAAGAAGGCCAACAGCGTGGCGGTCACTACCCGTGCCCGTGCGGTGCCCATGCAGAACGATTTGATGACATAGAGTATGTGTATCGCATGCCACATATGTCACTGGCTGACCGTATGCGCATACTAAAGGACGGAGAAGTAACATGGCAGAAGACCGTCAAGTGTTCGACCTCAGTGGACCAGATGTCGAAGGAAGAACTTGTGAGGGAACTGGTTTCTCGCAGCATATTGGACACCCAAGAAGCACAGGCCAAGAAATCCAGAGAACTCAAAGCACTGTTGAAGACTGAACTGCATGGTATCAAACGTCCACCAGCACTTCTCGTCGGCTGTCCTGAATCGTCGCTTGAAAGTCTGAACCTGGAAAACTATGAAATCCTCCCATGTGAGCCACTTCATGATGTGTCCAATCAAATCAAACATCTGTTTGAAGAGCTACCTCTGCATGTTCCTCCCAACATCAAGCAACTCATTGAGCAAGTCTATAACACTACGTTGGGCAGTAAGGAAATGAAACGAGGTTGCGACTATCGCGTCGCACTCGTAACTCTGTGTTGGAAGACGAAGCCTCGCCCGAGATCATGGAGCTCATAACATCTCTCCTGGAAATCCAGCGACTAAGTTATCTTCCTGCCGACAAAAGACGCCGACGCGAGATACTTAGATTGCACAATCAAGCCTTCCTCCATGCTGTGAGACTCCGCCAGATCATTCCTAATCCACGGAAAATCACATCTCGAGCTCTCTACGGCAACTACTTCCATGCATTGACTTGCCATAGCCCACTGATATTCAGGATTTTGCCCCTCAGTTCTACACACACAGAGTCAGAAGAGAGGGTTTTCAACCAGCTACGGGGTATCACACGTACAACAGTGTGTTGCAGAGAACCTGGTCAAGTCATTGGCAACATGTTGGTGCGATCGTTCTGTGAGAATGCCACGCACAGTGACAAGGATGCTGCATCATACCAGCAAAGTATCGTGTCAAAAAAAGCCAAGGCCCAGCAGAAAGCCAGGAAAGACACGTTGATCTCAAGACAAATCATCAACAAGTACTCCAAGGCTTGGCAGGCGCACTGTGAAAGACTGGCTGACTTCCTGCTGTGTGGAAAGGATGCGTGGTGGGTGGACGGTGACAGAGGAGGGAGTGACATTCCACGATGGACCCTCTCACCCAGACAGTCTTCCATCAGGACCTGCAATGATGCATTTCAGAAGCAGTACACTGAAGACTGTGGAGAGCCACCTTAAAAAGGCATGGCAACAGTGCCTCGATGAAGATGTGACAATTCCGCTCAGAAAAGTCTACCTGTACGACAAAACTGTTGACAGGAACCTGATCAGGATCAACCTCACAGACTTCCTATCTCCAGTTAGTGCAGAAGACACAGAAGAAGAAGTCCCATTTGCCGCCAACACTGACCTGACAGCCCTGGAAGAGGATGAGGAACCAGCTGTGCAAGTACAGGAGAGGGATGACCCCCATGATCTGCCAGCACTCGAACATCACACGGACACAGATAGGTAAATTTGAAATACATTGTATCAAAAATGTCCACAAGGTACTTGAACATGCAGCTTTTCAATTTACAATTTATGGACAGAGATAAACATGTAGCTTTTGTATTGTCTGAAAATGACTGATCCTTATTTTTCATTTTGCTGATCCTTTTTATAAATATCACAAGCGACCATCCAAACTATCCTATTTATATATGTATGCCAGGGCTCCCATACTCGCTCCCTAAGAAATATTTATAAAATGCTACATTAAAGCCTGTTGGAATGCTAATGTCCACTAACAAACTGGTATTTCTTTCTTTTATCATATTTTCAGTGAACAAACACAAGTGATGGAGTCTGGCCTGCAAGCTGCTCTGGAGAAGGAGAACCAAAGCCCTCTGTCCATGCCACCTCCATGTGAAAATGCTCTTGACTCAAGGTACCTCATGACATTTATATGATATTTCTCGACATTCCTGGTTCATATAAGGTAGATTAATGTCTCAACTTTTTAAAAAGTATATAATAATTGCTACAAGTGAAATCACATGAATATAATACGCTGCCCTGCATGTTTCCCAATCCAGTTTGGTTGAAGGATAGATTATATAATTAAAATTGTGTTTTCTGTTTCAATTTTGCTCTCAAAACAGTAAAACTCCCAGAGAAAAGGAATGAAGGGTCACATGGAGCCCCCTCAGCTGTTTCGGTCAACACAGCCATCTACATTGACAAGGTATGTTACATCTTTGTATATGTCATAGGGCAAGATGTTACCGGTTAAAAACACTACTAGTAATTCTTTGTCAGAGAGCATGTCTTTATGTATGTTGAGTCAACATAAGTTAATGACTTATTAAACTCTGTGTTGACTAACTCAACAATCCTTGCATTTATGATTTTCAATGTGCCTACAGGGATGGAGCAGGCAGTCATCCTCCTCACGGCTCAACAGCTGATCCAAGCAATGGAGGGAAGCAGTCGTCATGGTCTCGAAACCTACGCTGTCTGCTTGGAGACATCCCTGAGCTGGAGACTTTTGACTGTCTGAGGAGGAAGATGAAAGAGAAACATGTAAACAAAGATACAAAGGCATTGTACCACAAGACAATTGCAATACTCCAGTCTAAAGTCAGCAAACACCATTCTACTTTAACCCTCAACAGAACACCTTCCCGGACTGATTAATCTGTACACCTGGGGTCCGCGCGGACCCCAGAGCAGTTTTTTGCTGATTTTTAGAAATTATCAACATGCTACCAGCTCAATTGTTTTGCAAACTGATGTGGGAACCTCTGTGTCCACATTACATACAAAAATCATACATTTTGAACTTTTTGTATTTTTTGGTGAAGAAAAGAAGACAAGAAGAAATGCCCGATTTTTAAACCCATTTCAGACTGAAGGGGCTTTTGAGGCCCAACTTTGATCTCAGATAGCGGCTAAACGGCTTGCGCTAGAAGTATCAAATTTGGAGACCTTTCCTAAAATGTCTCTGGAAAAAAGTTCATATTAGTTTAATACTAGTAAGTTGATGTTTTTTGTGTTGCCATGGCAACGGGCAGTTTTTTTGAAAATAGAAGTAATTTTGGTTTAAACATAAAATTTTTCTGAGTTTAATTTTTTTTATATTAAATTACACTTCTTTTCCAACATTAATAACATCTTACATAATCAAATATAAGTTAAATCATTTAATATGCATAGAATATGCTAATTTGATGACGTCATTTGTCGAAATCCAATATGGCGGACTATATTATTAGCTCTGACATCATATGACGTCATTATTACACCAAAGTTATTAAGATTTAATTCTATTACTACACCATTCTCTGAAAACTTGGTAGACATACGATGAGTGCATAAAAACATATAAAAACGGAAATAAGGTAATGTATAAGAACGCCAGTGTATCCGGCCGATCGAAAGCCGGCTGGGGTCCGCGCGGACCCCAAAATAAAATCAGATATAATTTTTTTTTTATAAATGGTAGAAACGGAGTTTTCTGCACTGTATTGAGAGACAACTTTGTGGGTGACAATTACCTAAAATTTCAGAAAAAAATCTTTAGAAACAAAAAAGATATTACAGAATATATAGTGCTGGGGTCCGCGCGGACCCCAGGTGTACTGTTTAGGGTTAAAGATTGAAATTGAAGAATGGGAGAGAGACTTTATGTCTAGGAATGACTGTAGATGCCCCACATTGGCTGATGTAGATATATATGCCTCTGATCACATGAAAGAAGTGTTCAAGGGACTGAAAGTAGCAAGAGGCCTTATGAAGGCATTTGGCATAAAGGAATTCTAGTGAATGCAATGGTATGCTTGAACATCATGTACTTATACACTGTGTACATAAAATTGTCATGACTATGAATATGATAAATGTTCTGTGCACTTTAACAACGCTATTAATGAATTTTTGTGTATAGACTGAAAGTCATGTTTTCATTTAAAACATGAGTTACATAATACACCTAGTCACTCCTGATGTTGTTTTTTCAAGTGGAAGTTGTAACTGTCAGTCAGTCTAGTACTGTGAGATTAGGGCAAAATAGTTATTGCCTAGTCCTTGAAATTTTTAAATCTTTTTGAGAGTCGATCTGAAAATTAAGTCGGTATGTTCTTGCATGTCTGGCCTGTAACAAGAAAAGTCAGAGGAAGCCAGCAACTGAGGCGTAAACTAACGGGAAAGCAATTAGTTTTAGCTTTTGTGGCTTATATCATTTATTTTATTCAGTCCTCGGGGAGACCTGAAAAAACGTTAATCAAGCTAACTTGGAATGTAAAAACTCAGAGTTTTTTCAGAGTTTTTTTTACTGTGTTCCTTCACTACCAAAAATGCTTTTTCTTGTTTTTCTTATTTTCTCATGGGAAGAAAATTTTTCTTTGGGGGAGAATAATAAGAAAAAAATAAGAAAAAAATAAATTTTCTGTATACCTACGTTCTTGCACCAAGAACAATTTTCTCGTTTTTCTTGAGTGGAGATAATTTTTCTAAAATAGGCTTCTTTAAATCTTGATTTTTCTTTGGTGAAGAAATATTTCTAGAGGAGATTCTAACTTACAAGATTAGAATTCTTGTAATCTTGAAATTTCTTTAGTAAAGACAATATTTCTAGGAAAGATTCTAATTTACAAGATTAAAATTCTTTTAATCTTAAAATTCCCTCAGACTTAGTCAAATTTTCTTATTTAATCTCCATTGAAGATTTCTTTCTTATTTAATCTCCATTGAAGATTTCTTTCTTACCTGACATCAAAGTGGTCAGATTTAAAATTTTTTTCTTGTGTATGTCAAAAAATTTCTAGTTCATGTTACCGAGAATGATTGAAAAGGCCATTCTTGTTTTTCTTAGCAATGTTTAAGAAAATACAAGAATTTGGTTCTTGTCTTTCTTGGGAAACACTGATTAGAAAAGCAAGAAATTTAATCATCTAAATCTATTATCAGAATAAAGCCCTGCTTAGTGTTTCTTTCTTAAAGTTTCTTGTTTTTCTTGACTAGAAAGCTTAAGAAAGATCATTCTTGTTTTTCTTGGCAACATTTAAGAATATACAAGAATTAAGTTCTAAATATCTTTCTTGACAAATACTGATAAGAAAAAAAACAAGAAAGTCTGAAATATAAAATTGATCTTTGATTAGGCTGAAGATATGGCTAGTATTATATTCTTAAACATTCTTGATTTTCTTCCCTAGAAAGTTTAAGAAAGGCCATTCTTGTATTTCTTAGCAACATTTAAGAAAATACCAGAAAGTTTAAGAAAGATGATTCTTATTTTGCCTGGTAATGTTCAAGATGATGTAAGAACTTTTTTCTAGTTTTTTCTTGTCATGTGACCTTTTCTGAACCCCTGATTGGTTGATTCAAATCCCAGAATGCAGTTAGGGGGTTTTGAATGTGTAAGTCAGATGTAGGAGCCGCGCTGGTTACTTATTTTTGTCAGTTACTGACTCATGTCAGATTTGAAGTCAAAATCAAATTAAAAAGGACCTTGTGTACATGTGAAGCAATGGTGATCGTGGTCAGCTTGCTGAAGAAACCAACTTTGCAACAGAAAAAGCATGAAACCAAACAGATTGAAGGTAAGTGCGCCCCCCTCCCCACCTATAAGATCTGTTGACATTGTATATTTAGACTTCATAGCCCAGATATTGTTAACGCCATTGGGGTTGATTTCAAAGTCAAATCATATATCTCTGGTGTATTGTATAGTAAAGTTTATTACAGTGCTTTCTAATATGATTTTAAATTGTTTACTCCAAGTAACAAAAATAGTATTTTAGCATCCTCTTTTGACTTGTTGCCTTCAGTACACGCATGCAAACTAACACAGGTCTTTCCTGTTGTTTTCAGGTGTCCAAAGGGTGTGACTCTGCCAATTCTACAATGTGAAAACTTCAGTTTTTGCTGAATATGTTTCTGATCAGAATGTGATACGATCTGTATTCTGAAATCATAATGGCTTGTTAGTTACATCCTATAATATTTTGAGCTACTGTTAAACTGTTTCCATTCCAAGAATGCTGATGGACTGATATTTTTAATTAGATACATTGTACAAAAATCAATGTGAAAATAAAATCTCTATATACTGTCCAAATGCTTTTCAAAATAGCATTTAATTGCTATACATTATTGTCCGTTTTCTATTTAGGTAGCACTATATACATTGTATTTCTTTTCTTGTGGGCAGAATGGTTTTCTTGCTACAAGAACAGTTAGCTCTTCGTTCAAGAAACCTCTTCTTGTGGACAGAATGGTTTTCTTGCTACAAGAACAGTTAGCTCTTCGTTCAAGAAATCTCTTCTTGTGGGCAGAATGGTTTTCTTGCCACAAGAACAGTTAGATGTTAGTTCAAGAAGTCTTTTCTTGTGGGGAGAATGGTTTTCTTGCCACAAGAAGAGTTAGATAATAGTTCAAGAAATCTTTTCTTGTGTACAGAATGGTTTTCTTGCAATAAGAAGAGTTAGATCTTAGTTCAAGAAATCTCTTCTTGTGGGCAGAATGGTTTTCTTGCTACAAGAACAGTTAGCTCTTAGTTCAAGAAATCTTTTCTTGTGGGGAGAATATTTTTCTTGCTACAAGATGAGTTAGATCTTAGTTCAGGAAATCTTTTCTTGTGTACAGAATGGTTTTCTAGAAAACTTAGAAATTCTTACTGCAAGAATAATAGTCTAAGGATATTTAGTTCAAGATACATAAGAAAAGAAATCTTACCACAAGAAAAATATCATGCTAAAATGCAGTTTCTTGAAATTCTTGTCTCATGGACAAGATTTTTTTCTTGGGTGAAGAATAATTTTCTCAGTGGAAGAAAATTTTTCTTCTCTGAAGAAAAACAAGATTGGCATTTTTGGTAGTGTTCAAATTGGACAAATTGACTAATGTTTTGTTATAGATGTAATAGAATAGTTGCTGATTTGTATAGAATTGTTGATGATTTGTATACAAACTGTCTGATACTATAGTGTCTGATACTGTAGTTCTCTGCCCCCCTCCCCACCCCAGACAGGCGAATCTATAAATGATTGACAAATAAGAGAAAAGACAAACTTGCCCATGGTTGTATGTAGTCATCTTTAGAAGTCCAAAACAAGACTCATTGCGTTTTCAGTCGTGTTCAACTGACAGCATACAGTCCGTAGGGATAACTTTAGTCTAGATCTAGAAATGGCAAAGTGTGGCTCCCAACCTGATTACTCCTGACGCATGCGTACTGCAGCATCTAAATGTGACCAGGAGTATCGACATTTTCAGACCTGGGGCAGTGCAGTTGACAGCCTGTTAGCTGACCTGAAAACAGTCTGGCATCCAGGATTATGTAAATTGTACTACTAATATTAATGACCTGAGTTCAAGCACAATAGTTTGGTTGGCATGCTCAGCTTTTTAACAAGTTGATAACACTGACACAATCACTATCCTGTAACGTTATCATCTGTTCCTCGACGCAAGAGGGTCACACAGAAATTTTGGGTTATCTGCAATTCAGGTAGTCTTATTTTCCAACTCAGAGCAAACAATGACATTGTGAGTGGGACTCCTTTTTACATATATCAAAACACTCAGATCCAGGGGTTCTTCTAAGTTCTGGAATAAAAATTGACAATGATAATAATTGGAATAAAAACAAACAAAACCGACAGCAAATCCCGAAAAATCATGGAGAGTTATCAGACTATAAGATTACCTCCCGGTTTTATAAATACTTATAGTTGTACTCAAGTTCTCTTTTTACTACATTGTACATTCTTTGAGTGTATTAAATAGGTTTTATCCTGGAGCTTCAACGCCTTAGTTTTATGTCTTGTCAGCCTACTTTGTAACGAAAAGTTCACAATTAATTAAACAATACCAATGCTGAGATATGAGCATCACACAAATTAGAAGTGCATGGACTCCGAGACACATGGAATCATTTCTGAATTACAATACACATCTAGCACTGTTCCCAGACAGCCAAACATTTCACACTCCACAGGGTGCCAGGTATCACCTCACCTGGTCCACCGGCACCCATCTTGCAATGTTTTCACACCGGGCAGGGTCGGGGCAATTATCAAACAATAGGCCAACTCTGGAAAATTCAGGGTCAAAGGTTGTATCCATGTGTTGCTAAGGTGGCCGACGCCCACATTGCTGGGAGGTCCTGAAATGGTCTTAACTCTATTGAGATTGCGTATAAATAAAGAAATATCACCTGGTCATCCATGACCGGGTGAAGTCACATTGAAATCACATTGCGTTCAGACGCAAATCGCGATGCGCGGAAACCGATTCGAAACCACCTCTAGAAGTGACTTGGGATCGAGGCGCTTTCAATGTGATTTCGGAGCGTTCACATGGAGCCACTTGAAACCGCCTTGGGTGATTCCACATAGGCCGTGTCTATGTGGAATCACCCAAGGCGGTTTACACGTGGTTTACCCCGAAGCCGGTTTCAAGGGGCTCCATGTGAACGCTCACGTTGTGATATTTCTTTATTTATATGCAATCCCAAAATTTACGTGGCAGCAACTTAAAGACCAATAATGGTCAAACAATATGTCCGTTCTAGGACGAGCTTCACCGCCTCTGGTGGGACCACGTCGGCATTCGGCCGAGGTACGCTGGGAGGGGGATAGCAATAAATGTAGCTCAAGCGCATTGTGTTCGGACACAGTTCACAGGTGTGTGTGGCACGTGGACCAGATGTGAGGAATGTGAGTTACCCGAATCGCGGTTTGGGTGATTCCACATAGACACGGCCATAGACACGGTCTTTGCTTTCGGGATCAGGTGCGCTGTACACAGGAGCGACATCCGTCGTATTCAAAAGCAGACCCAGTTATCTCATTCCTTCACTGTGCAATGTCTACGAGGTACGTAACTAGGTGGGTTGATTGGCCAAGCTCCTGATGACCACAAAATAGCCTGATGGTCAGAAGAGTAGGGGGTGGTGCATACCGTACAGGTTTGTGATGATTGAGTCCAGTTGGTTGTCTCCCCGAGTGGCCCCCGTGACAACTTGCTTTAACCCATATCTTGAGCAAAGACGTTGGTGATTGTACTTGTTAGTGTCCCCGAGAATAATAATTCCCAGTTGAGAGTAAGTGCGCTCAATGTGCTCAAGACAACGGCCCAGATACTCAGTGATGTCATTGTCACTTCTTGAGGTAGCTGCTGATCTTGGTGGGTTGTATAGCGCGGCAGCAAGAAGGCAGTTCAGGCCACGGGGTAGCCGGTGGTTTAAACATAAAAAATTTCTGAGTTTTATATCAAATTATACTTCCTTTCTAACATTAATAACATCTTAGATAATTCAAGATAAGTTAAATAAAACCCAGAATTTTTTTATGTTTAAACCAAAATTACTGATATTTAAAAAACTGCCTGTTAGAAACCCGGTGTCATGGCAACACAAAAAACATTAATTTACTAGTATCAAACTTAAAAATATTTCCAGATACATTTTAGGAAAGGTCACCAAATTTGATGCTTCTAGCGCAAGCCGTTCAGACGCTATCTGAGATTAAAGTTGGGCCTCAAAAGCCCCTTCGTTCTCAATAGGGAAAGTTGAAAATGCACGTGGACATTATAAGTGCATGCGCAAGCCAATTCTTCCACCATAGCGGTCGTGCTAAGGCCAGTGAATTCCTTCTGCAGTTATGGTGGGCATGATGATTTTCACTAGTGGACGTCCACAAAGAGAGAAAAGAGCATAAATAAATGCAATTTTGTTAGATAAGCTATTCTCCTGTATTAATAAGATTCAGGGTCTTCTTCTTTAGACATAAATATCTTTGCAAAGCATGTGAGCCGATAAATTTGACACAATGCAATGTACCGCACACCAAAGTAAGCAAAGGTTGAAAGTTATATGTTGTTGGACAAATGCTGCTACAATGACACAATATGAACTATGTACATCTTTCTCAGATAAACAGATGACAGATACACTGTGTGAGCTTACCGCTGCAGGCCATCTGTTTTTCTGTAGTCTGAGAGTTGCCATGGTGAAGCTCACCTGCAGGCACAAAGAGAAAAAGCATGGATGAATTGAAGCCATTTCCTGCCATTCACTGAGAAGCAAATTGGTTTTACATTCCATTAATATACACATGATGCCCGTAGCCAGGATTTTGAATGGGGGGGGGGTCTTCTCACTGCTTAAGAGGGGGTTCCGGGAAATGTCGAAAAATGAACCTTCTGAAATGGCATTTCCTGTGTTTTTGAGAGGATTTCAAAACAGTTTTGCTGGCAGTTTTTATACGATTCTAGCCCCGCTGGTGATACGAATCAGTCCATTTAAAGGAAAATCTTGGACCTTTACATAAAAAGTGGACCAAAAAGTGGACGTTTTAGCCTTGGGGGGGGGGTTCTTCCGAAAACCCTACATGAGTTATAAATACATTAATTTTACAAAATCAAAGACGCTACTGACTAGTATATTTACTAAAAGCGATCATTGGGCCTATATTCACGTCACCACTAGACATGAAATAAAAATTACACACAAAACATGGACTATCTTCCAGGTAACAAGAGAACAGAGTTTAGCTATTATAAATGAATACAGAAGTATAAATCAGTTGTTAAATCGCTTAGTTTAGGAGAGATATATTAGTACACCCTAATATTCTATTATAATCACTTTTTTGTTAAAGTTGTATACCATTAAGTTTTGGGGGAATAACCTATCTATACGTTTTGCCCTATAAAATCACATAATTGACGTCATAATGACGTCATATTATGTCATAACGACATCAAAATTGTTGTTATTATTCTTTTTTAATATTACACCAACTCCTGAAAATGTGGTGGTCATACGATATACCGTTCGCGAGTTCTGAGGAAGGGCCGAATCAGCCCCCCCCCCGTCCCACGAAGCCCAAAAAAGCCCGGTCTGGATTGGGTTAAATACCCAAATCATCCTGCTAGCTGCTTTTCATTAAGGTTATTAATGTTACAAAACATGTAACATCATACAGGTTACATGATTGAAGTCATAGCAAATACTTACAGCTAAGTTTGCTTTTTGTCCATCGGTCTGGAGTTAAAAATATGCCCCCTGGACTGGTAATTTATTACAATATGCCACCGGTCTGTGTATGATTAACCAGAGTACAAATATGATGTAACACTGGTAATATCCGCTGTCCTGATACCTCGGCATTTCCTGGTGGCGACGAAACGAAAAGGTGGGTCTATCCGTGCTCTCAGTATCATATCTCTTATATCTTATTATTTACGTTGTTTAAGTACATTTTGGCCAACTCTCTAGTACTTGTCGTCTCGTTGAAATCTAGATTCTTAGCTTTTTAAAATAAATACCTGTTAGTTACAAATTTCATCCATCACAGTCGAAACTTAGTGGCTACTTAAAGAAATAAAACGTCTAACCGATTTTAAATTTTAAAATCTATATCCAGTTATTGCTTGAATATACTGTAACATTGTTACGTTGTGTAAGGGCACGGGTATGTTACTCTTTAAATCTAGCTATATATAGAACAGAGCAAACTGCTTTCTTAAAAATACTTTTTTTCAACAGTTGTGAAAATGTGAACAAGTCACTTTATCAAAGTTGTATCCAGGATCGCGCTTCTGTATCCAGTACCTGGGAGCATGTGGAATAAGCATTGTTTTTTTTTTCACTGTATGATTATAAACGTCAGTGTTCTCAGCGTCTGAGTTTGACCGTTTTGACCGTGTTTGTGGTCTAAGGTTCCAATAAGCCTATACAATCATAACTACGTACGCATACGTTCCCAGCTGGTCTTGCTAACTTAGTTAGTACCGCTTTTCTATGAGAACAGAAGAACCAAACTTCACAAACGCTCCACGAAATCTTTGTGTACGGAGGAAATCTGCAAATCATTAACCAGGTAAGCCGACCCAATACCTGAGCTACACAAACAAAGCTTCAGTCTGGCTTTGTCCGCCCGGCTTAAAACAACACAGCGCTAATGACCCACACCCGGCGGTGTACGTAAGGGGGTTCCCCTGGCGGCTACCTGGGACTCAGTGGGCTAAAAATAAGGCCGGGGAAGTTTGACTCCCCATGCTTAGTAGCTTCTGCATCTATATCTGTATATCCATGTGTTTTGTACTTGTGTAGCCCGTATGACGTCCCTTGGGCGTAACACATCAGCTTCTGTATCTGTATAGCCAGTATAACCACCCTTCGGCGTAACACATCAGCTTCTGTATCTGTATAGCCGGTATAACCGCCCTTCAGCGTAACACACCAGCTTCTGTATCTGTATAGCCAGTATAACCGCCCTTCAGCGTAACACACCAGCTTCTGTATCTACATAGCCGGTATAACCACCCTTCGGCGTAACACACCAGCTTCTGTATCTGTATAGCCGGTATAACCGCCCTTCGGCGTAACACACCAGCTTCTGTATCTGTATAGCCGGTATAACCACCCTTCGGCGTAACACTCCAGCTTCTGTATCTGTATAGTCGGTAAATAACCGCCCTTCGGCGTAACACTCCAGCTTCTGTATCTGTATAGCCGGTATAACCGCCCTTCAGCGTAACACACCAGCTTCTGTATCTGTATAGCCGGTATAACCGCCCTTCGGCGTAACACACCAGCTTCTGTATCTGTATAGCCGGTATAACCGCCCTTCGGCGTAACACACCAGCTTCTGTATCTGTATAACCGGTATAACCGCCCTTCGGCGTAACACACCAGCTTTTGTATCTGTATAGCCACAGTTTGTTTGTTTGCACAACAGAAATTTTATATAATACAATAATAATAGATAAAACAAGTGCAGGAGGGGGAAAAAGCTTACTCAGCATATGCTAAGCCCTCCTCCTCCATACTAACCAAAACTAAACAAAATTGAAATCAAATAATATATACATATACATACTTACGTAAGGAATCGTTAGCAAAATAATTCTAACATGAGCAAAATGATAATATACCAATAATGAAAAAGTAGTATCCATAAATTGATATGAAATAATACGTACATACATAAGGAATTGTCAAGAAAATAATTCAAACATAGGCAAAATGATACGCCAAAAAGCAGTTACTCAAGCAACTGGATATGATTTTGGAAACGTCAGACGTTTCAGCTAGTATCCACTAGCTTTCGTCAGTGACTGAAGTACCAGAGGAGAAATGCAGGTTTATAAGGCTTAGCACAAACTATTCTTGATATGCAAATAAAATGAAGACAATTTTTTGGATGTTTAAACGAGAACAAAAGTCAGACATGTCAAGACAAGATTATGCTAAGTCAGAAAGCTCCTGTTATGCAGAAGTGTTGTCTGTTCTCGGGGTTTGGGAGTGCCAAAAATCAAGTGCCAGGGAGATCTACTCCGCAAAATGATACAATAACAATTAATGAAACAATTAACAGTGCAAATAAAATAAAATAAAATGAAATAAAATAAAATAAAATAAAATAAAATAAAATAAAATAAAATAAAATAAAATAAAATAAAATAAAATAAAATAAAATAAAATAAAATAAAATAAAATAAAATAAAATAAAATAAAATAAAATAAAATAAAATAAAATAAAATAAAATAAAATAAGTAAGTACAGTGAGGAGCGACTTGTCCTACTTAAACTTTGCACGCCCAATTCCAGGTTTAGCTTCTGGCCACCTGCATCAGCTGTTCTGAAGATGAACGTGAACTTGACCTTCCCTGTTCAGTTTCTCCTGCTCTGCCTGACCAACTTCCGTCCGGCAAAGAGCGGTGAGTAAGAATGACTGATGATGATGGTCTTTGGTGCAAATCTATGTCCGATGTTTATAAGAAGATACACATTATTTTTTAAAATTAATGTTTAGAAGATACAAATTGTTTTAAGATCTTTATTGAACTTTCGCAGTGGACAACTTTTGCCGCCACTGAATTGCAGTCAATTTACATTTTTCTCACTGACATATTATATTGCACAAATAAAAGTAAGGTAAATTAAGAGTAGAAGTATAAGTTGATCTAAAATCTATTATGATTTTGCTTTGTGGTTTGCCTTCTTCTTAGACAGTCGAAATGGTATTTTGCATAATATAATCAATTGTATATGGCCTGACAGCATGTACACATTCGACACTTGGACTGCGGGGCCAAATATGGAGCATAACGGATGTGACGTCAAACCGCTGTGAGTGGAACATCTTGACTTCTCCATTGAAGATAATCTTGGTAAGCGTCTGATACAGCCTTTTGAATTACATGCTACTGGGTTTTGTGTTATCACCTGTATGTATCAGGTTATCTTTCAAAATAGGATTTATGAATATTCAATTCAGAATGTTACCCAATAAGTGTAACATAAATGTAAATAATATCATTTTCTACTAAAAATAAACCAATCGACTGGATAGATAAAGAGCCAGGCGTTTCAGCTATTGGAGAGAGTGAGAGAGAGAGAGAGAGAGAGAGAGTGAGTGAGTGAGTGAGTGAGTGAGTGAGTGGGTGGGTGGGTGAGTGAGTGAGTGAAAGAGCGAGTGAGTGAGTGTGAGTGACTGAGTGAGTGAATGAATTAGTGAATGAGTGAGTTTCAGACAGCAGTCACCTTCTTTCGTCAGTGACCGAGGATGAAAGATAGTGGGTGCCAATGCAGTTGCTTGTGCCATTGTCATTATTTTCATGACGTTTATTCCATAGATGTCTAACCATAATCGGAATATCATGGTCTATTCCAGATTAATTTTGACTCCTCCGGTTACCGGCGCGGTTCGGAAAACTGCACCGCCGACGTTCTGACGTTTCACGACGGAAACTCTCCGGGCAGCAGAACTATCGACACGTTCTGTGGGGACCAGACTCGTGAGTTTCATAATGTTTTCGTAAAAATGAGCCCCCCTCCCCAAAATTAATTTTTAAGAAAGAACAATAGAGTAGTCAGCACGTTGTACGCAGTGTTGTATAAGCCCCCTCCCCAAAAATTATTTTTAAGAAAGAACAATAGAATAGTCAGCACGTTGTACGCAGTGTTGTATAAGCCCCCCCTTCCCCCCAAAAAAAATTTTAAAGAAAGAACAATAGAGTAGTCAGCACTTTGTACGCAGTGTTGTATTGTAATAGCTAAATTTCGTCATCACTATTTCAACTGTCATGATACAGAGGGAAGAAATTTCATTTTAGTCAAAAGTACAAAAATACGCCAGAAAATTGCTTTGGTCAGATTGTGAAATGCCTCCATATCAAGATTTGCTTAGAATACATTTAATTATATGTGTGCCAAATTTGGTTCTTTTAGACAAAAGTACGCACCTATCTATCTACATGCATCCATCTATTAGGTAAGGCCACAGCAAGTAAATTTTATGGATGACATCCGCGCGCGCATTAATTTTTGCCTGATTTTGGAAAAAAAAAACAAGAAATTTTGTTGCCCTCTGACAGTGGTCAACATGCCGGAGATGGGCAAAGATGTTTGTTGCCATGCTGAAAGGTGGATGGCAGATAACTATAAAGAAAGAAGACAAGAAAAGACTCTGATTTAATGTTTGTTTCTTACTTTGATGCAGTGATAGTGATGCTGACTGTGTATATGTGATGTTTCCACTGAATCAAAACCATTTGTACACTGATAGAGTAAAAATTTTAAAATGTAGGAACCTTGTTTTTTTCGGCCCGTCTTGTTTTTTTTTTCGCCCGCTCGCATTAGATTTGGAGTCTGGGGAGGATGTCATCCATAAAATTTACTTGCTGTGGCCTAATAGCTATTACAACTAGACAGGCCGACATTTGCTTTGGAGCAAATACAGCGATGGCTTTACCACAGTTTACGACATGGCAGGGAAAGAATGAGAAACACAAGGGAAAACAATGATTTACATTGATACAACTAGAGTTCGGAGGTCTCATGCCTTCGACAGTGTGATATTGTTTTGGTGGGTGTTGTGTGTGTGTATAGTGTAGGTTTTTTGTGAAGATGATTATCGTAGTGAACGAAGCAACAGACTATTCACCAAGCCTGTACCATGTCTTTCTACGGAAATACGGATCGTAGAATTCGGCAAAAAGAAGAGGAGAATTGGCCTGGGGAGTCTGGCCGCGAAAGGTTGTTTTCTTCCCTCCGATACGCGGTGATCCAAACTTCAAAACGGCAAAAACTCCTTCAACTAAATTATTCTTCTATGCAGCCAGTGTTGTTGAAGCGTGCGATGTCCAATACATTGAAGACAATTGCAAGTTACAAAATCACACAAACTGGCCAATTGTTGTGATGGTATGTGGTATGTAAGATAAATGGGTTCCTCCCGGTGAGTTGTATCTCTCTAGCGGGCTATCTGACCCTTTAGCGGCATACTATTCCCTTTATTTTGGCCGTTTTCTACTATTTTTCCAGTGATCCATGGTGCCTGGTAGAAAGTTAATCTTCCTCCACAAAGAGAAACTCATTTATCATATATGCCTTACTTGTCAGAGGGGCCGTCGTATCAAACTTTTAGCAGGAAACAGTCCCGACTTTCTATTCCAGCCCGGATAGTGGTATAGACTAGCCCAGGTCCTCCGGGGACGTTCCCAGAGGTACGACTGGCAGGGCTGAGGTCAGCCTCGGGTGATCTACCTAACCGTCCCAGTCTATCCTGTCAATGCAATTTATCCTGGATAGAATTCAAATAAAATATGTATCCTAGTTGCAATTTAACAATCTTCAATTTTTGAACTAGTAGTTATTTACTGGTTATTTCTCAGGTTGGCGACGCAGTTTGGCTATGTTAGTTTTCTTGTGGGGCCCATCGGACCATAATATGGTCGTGAAAATCTATCCTTTCAATGGCAAGGCTTCTCTATTCCCTCTCCACACGACCCATTATGAAGAAGATTACAGGCATCAAACTCAAAGTCATTCATAGAATACCGCCGTGCTCCTCGCTAAAGCCACAAAGCTTATAAAGATTAGATACTGCTCAATGCGTTCAGACCACTTCCTTCTAGTGACCTGGCCATTGTGTACAGTATACCAACTATGTTATCGATTAAAACAAAGTTTGTGACCTTATATCGGGTTTAAATCTTTAACTCCTGTTGCATTACGATACGATATGCACAAATGTACTACACAAGACTGCACAAATGTACATGCTAATGTTGTAGGTATTACGGGAAACCTATTCACATTATCCATATTCCAGATTTACCTGGGTGCCAAACTGAGATACTTTGTGTCCAGTGTGCTATGGGTCTGGCAACCAGGCTAATTCCAGATGTTCACACTGGGGGCCACAGACCTGTCAAATAAAGCACGCTCTGCTGGGGCACTGGGCCACTAATGTTTTTTCAACAAACAATTTCAAAGAAAACGTTTTTTCAACTAAAACCAATGTTGACAGCTTCCTGTCTGTAACTTGTTGTTTTAACCTAGATATGAATAGGTTTCCTGTATTCCCTACAACATTAGCGTGTACATTTGTGCAGTCTTGTGTCAGGGTTTACAAATTTTACAAGAGTTATGCAGTTGCTCCAGTACATGTAACAAATATTAATAAAAAGAAAGATTGCCTTTTCTACATTGTACATTATGAATGATGTATCTATGTGTGTTTGAAGGCTGGCCGAGTCGTTAACCCAGCATTAACCCAGTATTAAAACTTTCAGTATTAATGCAGCATTAAGCGCCACTTTCGCCAATTTCGCAAGGATTCTGTTGTTTCAACAAACAGGAAAGTTTTTTCCAGCTATCCTTGTGGGCATAAAGCAATGTAATCCACAGAGGGTGGAAACCAAAAAGGTCTAGTGCAGTATGAAAGACATATAGATTTCTCTTATTAATTAATCAAATTGGGTCACAATTTACATAATTAATATCTGTCAATGTTCCTCTTCCTCTTGTTTAAATATGCCACCATTTCAATTGTTCTATCATGGAACGCAGCAGATTTATAGACTTTTGTCATTAATTATGTAAATTAGATTGTGATTTGCATAATTGTCATCTAATTAGGTCAAGCATCACTTAAGCTACCGAGATACCAAAAATAACAACAATCCGTCAACCGGTTCTTGAGCTATCCTACTTCAAGCATTTTCAAACAAATGCCTCTGCATTTCCCAAATAAGCTGCTACGGGGCCCAAACTTACGGCACTTCTTTCTGAGCACGAGAGCTACCTACCATCTAAAAATCATGACCCTAGCACGTCCATATCACGAGATTTAAAAACCAGAAGTTTCGCTGCAGTACTTTCTAATTCAATGACGTGGGGACCCCCCACGAAGCCCATATCCGAACTTGACCTTGGTATTGTCAATGGTAACTTGCCAACTAAAAACATGAACATCCATTTAAAGATTCTCGAGTTATCTTGATGTACAAGAAAAAACACAAGAAACAAAGGTCAACTGCAGTGACATAGAAACCCCCAGGGGCCCATCTTTGAACTTGACCTCGGCATTTTCAACGGTAACTTGCCCACTAAAAATAATGAACATCCATTTAAGGATTCTCGAGATATCTTGATGACAAGGAAAAAACACCAAAAACCAAGGTCAACTACAGTGACTTAGGAACCCCCCACGAAGCCCATTTTTAGCCTTGACAATGGCCACCCCTAAATCAACCTGCCTGCCAAAAATCGTGAACCTCGGACCTTGCCTTCAAGAGTTATCGTGCCTAATCTGCCAAACAGTGCAAACCCGATTTCATAACCTTCTCCGAAGGCATAGCCTTCAGTCGAAGGCAACT